GTTTTGACATGGAAGCATATTCGATCCAGAGGTCGGGATTGTTGGAGACGTTGGTTTGCCGCTAGGATGGGCCTAGCAGATACAGTGATGGTGTTGCTTCTTTGATGTAAAGTTGATTTAAGGATCGCTTCACAGAAGTCCTTTTCTGGTAGGCCAGAAGTGTGCCATCCTTGTCTCTTGAGCAACTGGTGTTGGTGGAAGACCTTCATGTTGGGAAGAATGTCAAGCATTTTCCCACAATATTGACAATAGTGCAGGCAGCTGAATGCCGGCATTATGGAAATACCCTTCCATCTTTCACCATGATTCTCAAGTTTGTTTGGATCGTTGTATCCTGAACTCCTACTGCTCAACACATGTGTTTTTGGCAACATATACATATATACACCCATCTTGGATTGAATAGAATATAAACCAATCCAAAGAACATGACCAGTCTCCCACTACTCCAGGATGACTGTATGCATGTTTGGATCAGACTGGAGAAGCGCAGCGCGGTTATGTGACCCAAGGTGCCGGGCATCAGCAAAGCCTGGACGAAGCAGAGCGAGCGGTCAGGGGGTACCAGCTACTCGATTGCAGGTTGGTGAGTGGATGATTTTCAACCACTGGAGCTTTGAGATGGAGCCGGACCATGACATATTTTTGCTTTGCTCAACCACTGGGATTGGTCCCCAAAAGACGCCAGGAGCTTAGAGATTTCCATCAGTACTTGGACATTCACGCCCAACATATGGCCACGTCAACTGCAGCCGGTCGATCTCGGCTGGCATATTTCCTCCAAGCTGGTCGGCAAGTGACGGAAAGCAAAACAGCAGGTACTTCACCACCAAACCATGAAGCACCCTCCGAAGTTGAGAATCATTCATCATGTGAGTGATCAGTTGGAGCACCGAAACCCAATGGAGTTTTGACCGAATCGTTGATTTGAGGGCCAACCTGTCGGAGCTCTCCCTCAAGGTTCAGGCGGGACCGCGCTTTCTCGCCTCATGTGAGACAGAAGCAGGTGAGAGATGGGGACAGATGGAGCAAGAAGCTTTGACAAGTTGGTGGATTCAGGTGTTCTTCCAAATTTGTGCAGTTGCTGCGGAGTATATAGATGGCCAGACTCCCCAAAGGTGTATCGGATGGATTCTCAATTGAACTGGATCAGAAGAGGTGGAGGTGATTCGGAGATCCAAGCTCTTGTGTGACAAATCCCTCTCATCATTCCCGGGACTTTCACCTTGGCATTTGACAGCAAACAACAGAAACCAAATACCACAAACAGTCTTCAAGCACAAAAAACAACTTTAGGAGTCTTCTCTGAGTTGATTTGTAACCTTCTTCTGGTTCCATCTTTTGTTCTGATTGCTTGGGTGGCTGGACTGATCGCTGGCCGACTGGCAGGGCGAAACCCTAAACCGCCACGTCGAACCGCCTCACGGTGCAGGAGTTGGAGCTGAAGCATCGCAGCAGCGAACTGCGTGTTTGGGACCTGGTCTGTTGCTCCTCAGGAGGACTGACAGGGGGACCGACGAGGTGTCTGTGTGATCGCAGCGATGGTCATTGAAGGAGGGCGGTTTTCTTGGAGATTCATGTTGAATAGATGAGCAACAGCACAAAGATGAACCCAGGGCAATGACAGAATCAATTTAAACCAGAGAGCCATCAAACATGCAACAGCCATTTTGCTCCAAACCTCCGTGGGCAGCCCGAACGTGTCCCAATCAGAGCCCATGAAAAACGCCGACGACGACTGAACCATGCAACATCCAGAAAGTCACATCAGTAGACCCGTTAAAGACATGGGTTGACCACCTAAGCAATCCAAAACGAATCGATTTTAGACGTTTTTTCTCCAAGGCAGCGGAGCAGAAAGATCGCGCAGCTCGGGGTCCCCGGCTCCCACAGCTGTGGAAGATGAGGAGTTACATACAGTTACATGTGCTTCTTTTTTTCTTGCTGGTTTGAACATGTTTGAACCTGGAAATGCATTTGGAGGCTTTTGGTGCTTCAACTTTTGCATTGCCATGGTGTGGCCGTAGACGATTTGATGTTTCCTTTCTTGCTGTGGGGGCGCGGGTGAAAGATATGAAAGGCCAACGAAAGTCCCCAAAACTAAACCATGTGTAAGAAAGGTTGGTCTTGATGAGGGGTCAACAACTGATCTGACTGTTTTCACAGATCTGGATGCGATTCTATTTCCAACATGTGTCAAGGCTCATGCACACTATTTACTGTACATGCATTTACAGTTCATTGGGTTTCCATACACCAAAAGATCAGCATGAATATAGTTGCCATAAAAGTTGATGAACATGAAGACAATATGCTTGCGATGCTGTTTATTTGGCCTATCTTCAGTGACATCATGGGGTGCATTTGTGCCAGGCGCAGACAGGGAACTTTTGAGCTGGGGAGAAGAACCACTTCAGGGCATCTAATACTTTGTGTGGAAGCTGAGGAGCGCTTGCAACTTGATATGCAAGACGCTGAGCTGGAGGCAACTTGCAAGAGTGGAATTCCCAACACTCAATTGGAACTGTTTGTCTTGGGTCGTTTGAGTATGTTTTCTTGATTTCTAGACATGTGATGACACGGTTGAAAGGATGTGCTACCCCGCAAATCACCTGCCGTAGTGTTCGAAATCAGTAGGTTGCAAGTTGCACAGCCTGCTGCCCTACCTATCTAATCATCTAATATCTCATTTGCTTTGTGGATTTGTATGACTTGAACCACTCACTTGGTGCTTCTTCGCTCCAATCCTCCGCGCGCGCGGCAACCCGCTGCCGATCCTCTGCGACAGGTGAAGCGCTACCAACAACGTGCCCAGGCAGCGGAGAAGGAGCGCGACCTGCATGCAGAGGTGGGGAAAAGATGCGATGCGAAGATATGGAAAAACCCCACGCCCACATGGAAGACATGGACAACTGCGTGGAAGACATGGAAGACATGGATAAAGAATCACACATTTTGCATGGAAGACATGGATAAAGAAGACATGGAAAGACTATCAAAGAATCACAACTTTAGAACAGGTCGCCCAACGCGCCCAACGCAGGCAGCTTTGCTACGACTTGTTTTACCTTGGAAAGAAGATCGAATCGACATGGGCAGCTGCCAGTTCGTTTGTTCGTCGTTCCCGGTGCTTGGCCGCCCCACCCGGTGTCCGCGTCGTTCCAGGTGGCGAAGCGTCACGAGGAGCGGAGCCGCGGAGCGGAGCTGGGTCCATTGGGGGGGAAGAAGCTCTTGGGTGGGTACCATGTGGGTACCATGTAACACCTTCAAACACACTAAGTCTTTATGAGCCTAGGGCCTAAGGGGTGTTATACCCTTTTCCAACTTTTATTTGAGTCTTTACGAAGCCGAAGAAAGTGTTTTTGAAGGTTTGGTATTGTCATGTAAGTTTGTGGGTCAAAATATAAGATTTCTCACTCCTTGCAACCGGAACAAGTGCGGCAACTCCAATAGGTTTGGCTGAGAGCTTTGGTTGAGTCGCCGAGTCGCAAAGAGATAGGCTGGTAGGTTGGCCCAATGGAGGAGACCATCCCATGTCACCAACTCAGAGACCTCATGTGTTTTGCTACCAGGGTTAGAACAGATCATGCCCATTATGACCTCCTCAAAGATGGGTTTTCGATGTCCCATTCCTTCGTTCGCGTTTGACTGCCGACAGATTCTTGCTCACCGGTTCCAACGACTTGAAGGTCTCCAACTGGCCTGCCCAGACTCCAACTGGCCCAGATATTTGGAAGCAACCGCCAGTGGGACATGATCTGGTTGTCATGAGATGTGGGACATGAAGGGCTCTGATGTTTGGAATGTGACTTGATCCAAGATCAACTGGCCATGTATCTGGAAAGATCCTGCACGGCAGTTTTCAAGGGGCACGGGGGGCCCAAAGAACTGGCGGACGAGAGGGTGGGTCCCTCTTCATTCGCCCGGTGAGACACAGTCCCTGGCATCGAGGATCTCCCGAAAACCTATGGTCAATCGCACTTGGTGTACGGGATTCCTCCGTGTTTTTTCTATGCAGGAGAGCTTGAAGCATCAAAAAGAGGAGGTGAGCACCCGTGGACTCAGATGCAGGAAATACAGTGACCTAACCAACTCGATGCAACATAACATGCCGGGTAAGTTGGCTTTCAGGGTCCTGATCACCTTTGTACCGTACATATTACTGTAATACATCAGGTGAATGCTTTGAATGCTTTTGATGGCTAGATCGACTAGAAGGAGGATTGTGAGGGAACTTGAAATCTGTTCGCAGATGGACTTGTTTGTTCAGCCGAGTGGACATCGAAAGAACGCAATGACGGTTGACGGTGGATTACCAGGAACGCCATGAGGGAGATGCCCTGAGATCGTCCGTGTGTTGCGGCCCTATCCTGATCCCCACTTTGCCATGCAGATTGGTGGAGACTTTTCGCCCTTCCTGATGAACTGGCGACCATCTCGCCGATAGGGATTGATAGGATCCGTTTGAAAACTCTTCTTACCATTATTACGATTGCCATCCATTGCCATTCTCCTCCAGGCTTGGAACCATGAATGCTTGTTAAGGTCTTCCATCAGATACCTCGCTCTGTTGACTGAGAGACTGCAGAAGCTGACGTCCATGTTCCCTCTGCTCAGCTGACCCTCAATCCTCCTTCGTGGTTCACAGGTGAACGAGCACCTGCAGCAGTTGGAGAAGCAGCAGCAGGATGTTGATGTGAAAACGGGTTGGCAAAAGGAAGCGGCTTGTTGATGAACATATGAGGTGCGCTTTGAGCACTTAAGGTCGGCTTGATATTTGCAGCGAGCTATCAACTTCTGTGTCTGGTTCAACAGAGGTAAAGATTGCCTTTTAATTTGGCTTTCTCATTCAGGTGTCATTAGACCATCAACAAGCACTGGACAGCACTGGACATGATGCCACTTTCTGCTTTGCTTCCATGTTCGTTTCATCCAAAACAAAACAAATAACATCAAATAACACCATAGCATCACAAAGACTGTGCACCACAATGCGCATAGTTCCCTTCATAGCCCCACCATATGGCCGATCTGATGTCCAGCCATGGTAGCGGACGCCGAAAGCACGGAAGTGATCGAGCTACAGGTGGTGGGCTTGGATGGTGAAGGCTTTACATTGCCCCTGGCCTGCAGATGGGGCTTTAGCACTTGTTGGACGGTGCTGCCTCTCACAATCCGGACACGCGCGAATGCACACACACGCCATGGGAGGTTGGTGTGTTCATTCCTATGGAAAATGTGGATGTGGATCTAAACCCAGCGGGTAGTGACTCACAAAATAGAAGCAGAGATCCCACAGCTGTGCTAGGAGACTCCCTCACAGGAGACTTCCTCCAAGAGAAGAGCAACTCTGTCGAGGTATGTGACCTGACTTTTGAACCCTTCACTCCCTCCACTCGCATGTTTTCCCAGGCGAATTCCAGACTCCAAAAGCGGCGAGGACCTCCGCGCGCTGGTCGCGCGACGACTTGTGGCGAAGGCGGGCGCCCAGCTGGTTCTCTTGAATGGACCAGAGTGACTCGGCGATCACCGATGTTTCCGCAGACACAAAGAAAGGCCTTGGCGCGACCAGCGGCAGATCCACTCACTCGTTGGACTCCTTTTTGTGTGTAAGGGTCCAATGAGGGTGTTCTTGTGTGTAAGAGTCCAACCTTGCAACTCAGCACAACGACAAAGCACTTCATATCGTTTGTGGTCAAGCATTTGCAATACCACCAGGTAATTAGACAGATTTCCCTGCTACTCCCCGGAATCCGAGAACTCTTCACCCTGGAAGCAGAATCTCATGCTGTTCCAAGGCAACTCTCAAAGTCTCAGAGCTTGAAGGACCAGGGCCTTTGCTGTGGCAAAACAGTGTCCTACAGCTATGTGCCTCGGACCTGCCAAGTGAGTCAGCTTGAGCTAGCAGAACTTTTTCTCACTTGAGCTGGCCAATTAGATGAAGCTGACTGTTCAAGGAGATGTGTTCAACCTGGGTGCCGAAGTTTCGCATGCTGACAGTTCTCCCCAAACGTTCCAAAGTTCGATTCAGACGGTTCAGAGCCTCGGTCGCTTGATGCGACCGTGCCTTGCTTTTTAAAGTCAAACTGAACAGGAGCAGTGGCCAAAGTAAAACACGAAAGCAACATGAGCAGCGACCAAAAATTCAAGCCCTTAAGCTCCACTATTCGCTATAGTGCCCAAGTCCTCTCTTTTCCTCTTCTGTCTGCCTTAGGCTTCTGCCCGCGACCAGCATGCATTTCATTGCGACGAGTGCCCAAATCCCTTAAACGAACCAATTCCCAGGTGCCTACGAACCTCGCCAGGGCCCTCACGCGCTCCCGCCTGGCCTCGCCACCAGCGAACTCGGCGAGTTCCTCGCAGTTCGACGATGCCTGGGATGGGCTGACCGAGCTCCAAGGATCCTTGGCGGAGATCCTCGTGGAATCCGATCCCGTGTAGGGTTCCCTCTCGGATTTCCTTGGGCAGGTGGCATTTGATCCGGATCCTCGCAGAATCCGAGATGGATTCTATCCCACAGATGCCCAGTCCATGACCGGGTTTGGGGGAGGATTGTCGGGCGTGAGGGGGGAGGGATGGTTGGCCAAGAAAGATGTAAGGTGAGAACAGTTGATGTGACTTTCGAAGCCGGGTTGCCATTTATATATATATATATATTTATGTTGAACATAATTTCTCAAGAACATTTGAGAACCGGCTTGGGTGAGAAGACTTGGTCGCTATTTACTTTTCTCAAGCCAGTTCGGGGAACATGTCGAGAACTGGATTGGTATTCTTTTGTTGCGGCGTCGCGGCGTTGAGGCGTTGCTGGGCAGATGGCAACGAGCTTGCCCGGCAGTTTGGTGTGCTTGACTTTGGGCAGCTTACTTGGGCGGATCGGACAAGAAGTTTTTTTCCTTTCTAGAATTCGCGCACGTCCACGTACAACACTTGTAGGGGCTTGGAAAGGGCTGACTCGGCCAACCCTTTCCAGGGGCTGACGGTATCCGAAGCTTCGTGTGGCGCTCATGTTGAAATGACAGGTGTCGTTTTGGTCTTTCATGTGGAACAACAAGTTTCAACATGTTGGTTTGGTAGAGTTTGCGCATTTTGCACATCCACCAGAGGCAATGATTTCAATGAGAGTTTGGAGGGAATGGAGTGGCCTGAGACTCTTCAACATGTGAGCTTTGGCAGAGCCTTTGACCAGACTTTGGAGCGAGTGGCCTGGCCGAATCTACGCAGCCTGAACTTTGGCAACTCCTTTAACCAGTCTTTGGAGGGCGTGACTTTACCAAGAAGCCTCCTAGACTTGACCTTTGGCATGAAGTTCAACCAGACCTTAGCCGGTGTGAACTTACCACTGGGGCTGCAGCGTTTGACTTTTGGCATTTTGTTCAACAGGAGCATGGACAAGGTGAATCTACCCTCCGGTCTGCAGACGCTGGTTTTTAGCATCGACTTTAATCAGAGTTTGGAGCAAACCAAACTTCCAGCCAGTTTTCTGGAGTCGTTTTCAACACATGTTTGTTGTTTCCTTTAGGACCCCGAGATACCTTGATGGTGTGCAGAAGATTTGTTTTTTATCCGAGATACCTTATGCCATGCTGATCCAAGGCCTCCAATGCTTGATATTTGGGATTCAATTTAATCAGAGCTTGGAACATGTTGAGCTGCCCAGTGGCTTGCAACGATTGTGTTTGGGCGATGCGTTCAATCAAAGCTTGCAACGAGTCAACTTGCCAAAGAACCTCACATCATTGGTGTTTGGTACGAATTTCAATCAAACATTGACCGGAGTGAGTTGGCCAAGCAGCCTGCGTACTTTGACCTTTGGCCATGACTTCGAACTGGACTTGATCGAGTTGGATTGGCCAAAGGGCCTGGAAAGCTTAACTCTTGGCAGTGTCTCGCCCAGATTCTTCGACTGTCAATGGCCCCAAAGCTTGAAAAGCCTCAGCTTCGTGGGGTATTTCGACCCGCGAAACCACTTGAAACTCCCCTGCGGCCTCGAAAGCTTGACGTTGGATGGATCTTTTGATGGAAAGCTGGAGGACATTCAGTGGCCCAGCGGATTGCAGACATTAACTTTGGGCGATGCCTTTAATCAGAGCTTGGCCAAGGCACGATGGCCCAACGGACTGAAGAGCTTGACTTTGGGCCTTTCCTTTAATCAGAGCTTGGAGGAGGTACGGTGGCCGGAGAGCCTGCAGAGCCTCACTTTTGAACATGACTTCAACCAAAGTTTGGCCAATGTCGAATTTCCAAGCCGCTTGGAAAGCTTGACATTCAGCGAGAGTTTCAATCAGAGTTTGGTGGGAGTTTCTTTTCCACAGAGCCTCAGGAGCTTAACATTTGGAACGAGCTTCAACCACAGCTTGGAAGGACTTTGCTTGCCTGAGGGTCTCCAAAGCTTGACATTTGGCACGAATTTCAATCAAAGCTTGGACAATGTCACTTGGCCTCCAAGCCTTCAAATGCTCATTCTTGGATTCAGCTTCAACCAGAGCTTGGAAAGAATCACTTGGCCAAGTTGCTTGGAAATTTTGACCTTTGGATATGACTTCGACCAGAGCTTGGATCAGGTCACTTTGCCCAACAGCCTTCGATGCCTGACTTTTGACCATGATTTCGACCAGAGCTTGGAGCAAGTGAATCTGCCAAGCAATCTTGAAAGCCTAACGCTGAGTGCGAGATATAAGCACAGCTTGCTCCAAGTGTCGTTGCCCAGCAGCCTTCACAGCCTCACTTGCGGGCAGCTGACGGTGTCGACGAGGACCAATTAAAAAAGCGGACGCAAGGGCTGGATCCATTGGTGCCGCAGAGTACATTTGGATGCAGCTCAGTGAGTGCCCGCAGAGTAGCGGAAGCAGACCGAATATCCAACGAGACCAATTTTCACTACCAGCCAGTGGATCACTTGGATGCGGCTTTCCGATGCTTTCTGAGACACTCATTTGCGGAGCTGCAGCTGCGGTATGCTCTTGCATGAGCTATGAGGTCAGTTTGTCAACTGCAATTGCAAGTGTACTGTATCTGTTTTAATTAGAGCAAATGCTTAGAAACAGAAACCAAAAACTCCTTTTGTAGACATTTGGTTCTTTTCTCAGTATTCTTGCCAATCCATCCAATTGGATGGGATGGTCTTTTAACATCCCCATACCGCACCCAGCATGTTCTCACCTACTGCAACTTGGTCGGTATTCCGGGAAAAGGCTCGTGGACTGTCCACTATCCAGTGTTGTCATGAAAGAAAGCACATGCCAGTTCTGACAACCAATTTCATCAATACCAAACATCCATTCTGTCTTTGTTTCAGGTGTTCACCAAGTTTTAACCTGGCCATGGCTGGTCGGTATTCATCCAGCGGAGATTCCATCAAAACCTCATAATTGCGGTTCACCAAAAATCGATTGTAAATCTTTTTTTGGCTCAGAGCAACCCTTGGGTAATGGGATAGAAGTCCTCTCCGCATACAAAGAGGAAGAAAACGGATAACGATAAGTAGAAGTACAAGTAGCATTATAGCATCATAGTGCATCATGCATAGCATAAGGCATCATAATCATATAGAAATAACATATATCATACATCATACTTCATATATTATTCATGTGCATTAAATGCACTATAATCTACGATAAGTTTTATCTCTTTAGATATTCATCTACACCGGTGGTTGTAATCCTTCAGGTCACAATTGGTTCAATGCGATCGCGACATCGCGACATCGTGTCTTGCATTTAAAACATGTCAAGCGTTGTTTGTTTGAGTTGAGTGTTTGAACAGATTGGGATGTGCGAAAGATGTGAGGTCTTCATGTCAGATCCCGCTTTTGATCGGATCATCGGATTGAGAGGATTCGCTCGTAGGAGATGTCCTCCCTCCTCAGCGATGTGCGCAAGCAATCGGAGGCGTGCTTGGTCGGGACCTGGGTGATTTGGTGTGAAGTTTTTGGAGCAACTTCATCACTCAGGGCATCTACAGTGAATCTACAGTAGAATGGGTATTTCAATGTGCACTCTTGAGAATCATTCTTTTGGAGGAACCTACTCCCGAAGCAGAGTGCACCTTGGGGTCACCTTTCGCAACCCCAAGAAGAGATTCAATAGATTCAATGCTTCACATGAAGTCTTCCAGTCTTTTTACAACAAACAGGAACAGAACAAACAGGTTGAAGAAGTCTGTTCTGTTAGTGGCCTCTGTGAAGTCTTTAAAACATGTTTTTGAACAAACAGGAACGATTGGACGAACTCACATGGCCCAAGCACAGAAGACTGGTGGTCGCCGGACTGGTCTCCGGTCACCAACGAGCCGACGATTTCCAGAACTCTTTGGGCTTCCCATAGAACTCTCTGGAAACCAGAGAAGCCCGCAGTACTCGATTCGAGCGGCGTTTCACATGGGCACCTGGGTACGCTTGGGGTCGATGACATGTGCGGCCTGTTGCGGCCGCACGGCTTGGCAAGACGGATGCGGCCTGGCTTCGTTGTTGAACGATCCGCAAGAGGATCCCCATAGATCCCCCCCAAATGGCCCATGTGTGATCAGGATCATCGTCGTTGGCGGGCAAGCCTACGCAACTTCATATTCCTATGCAACTAAGTCGCATCCTGTGCTGTGAGTGATATCTATTTCTAACCTCCTACGCCACGAAGTCGCATCCTAAGTCGCATCCCACCTAAGCTAGTATACGTGATATCTATAAAAAGCTACAGTAACATCCTAGTAATATCCTACTAAGCTGATCAAGTCGCATTCCTTTGTTTTGGGTTGACGCACCGGTCACCTATCATTCGCTAACCGGCGTCTCCCGGATCCACCCGTGGTCGTCTCGCGGATCGGCGGCTCTCAGACCCTGCAGAAGCACCGTCAGAGGGCCACTGAGCCGGGGGAGCCAAGAGAGAGAGAGAGAACCTCCGGGCCTTGGGCTGCGGGTTCCACCATGGAACCGGCGACTACTTGAAGTACCGCGATAAGTAGTATGAAGTAGTGAAGAACATGGCGTACACATGAAGATGGGGTTTTGAAGCTTGTGTGTTTCCCCCTCTGTGACGTAGGAGGATTTCTCGTTCCGCTCGACACTCCGGCGAATCGACAGACCTCAGGAGTTCCGGATGTTCAGCCGTTTTCGGGCGCTGCTTGGCAGGAGGTTTCTTGCAGAGTAGGGGGCCGTGGCGGCCGTGGCCTGTTCAAATGATGTGATCGCCGTTTGCATCTCCCTGTTTCGACGACCTTGGCCACAGAGTGAGCCAGCACATCCAGCTGGGGCTCCATTCTTGGATGGAGATGCGAAAACAACTACCGTAAGCATGGGGGTTGTGCCATGTACTTTTAAACAACTATACTAAAGACTTGACATGGAGACACTGTTCATGTGTGAAATCTTCGCTTTGGCCATGAGCCATGACGCTCAGAGACTGCCCAGGTTGGAGCGGCAGCTGGCTGAACTCAGGGGCGAGGCGGACGTCGTGGGGTCATCCCGGATCAACCTCTTCACAAATTGGGTCGAGTTCCTGAATCTTCACGTGCCAAGTAGGCGGCAGACTGGGGACCATTTTGGGGCGATCCGATCTGGTAATTATGTACCTGTCTTCGCAAGGGGTGCGTTTACTTAGGAAGAAGCACCGCTTTGGACGGGGTTTGACCATCCGCACTGACGGGGAGATGGTTTGGAGGTGTTCGGCCATCTCCATGTCGATGTGTTCGGGTAGTGGGGGGAGTGTGGGGGGTGGTGTTCACTGGGGGAGTTTGAGCACGCTGGATATTTGGACATTTTTGAGAGGTACACTCTCTGAAATCATCATGGACACGTGGACAGGAAAATGGCCCCGAAAACTCGGGGATGACATGAAATCCGGAGACCAAACAGGTGCTGGTATTGCAAGGAGTGTAGAGTGTTTAGTTTTTGCATAGTTCATCATGTTTTGACCTATATTTGTATGACTTGTGACCCTACGCCTTTCGCCCCTTGTTAGAATAAGCCTTCATAACTGACAGAACTGAGATACTTTAAAACCTCCCACGGCTGGATTTACGTGCCAAATGCCGTGCCATGCTGTGCTCATGGGGTGGACTACTCAAGGCTCACCGCGGGATATACGCTCGCGGCTCAAGGCTCAAGGATGATCCTTGAAATGTAGGCCCAAGATTTTGTTTGGTTCTGGGGACCCACCTCCAAAGTTCAAGCGTGTTCAAACCAGACATGAGCAGGCGGAAAGGGACAGTTGGGTCTGCCAGGAGGTCTGCCATGCAAGTGATCCAAGTGGACACGATGAGACACCTGCTGTTAGCCATAGACAATGTTCGAGATCAAAACCAATGCATGAACTCGACATCCTACATGCCTGGCAAGTTGCAAGAGTTTGTTTACTCACTCCCCTCCTCTTTCAGAAGCCAATCACCTTACTTATATACATCTTTTCCTTGTTCCTACTCATTCTAAGGAATCCTAGCACAACAGCAAACACTCAAAGCCACACAAGCAGACCAGCAGACGCCAAGGAACCGCACCGACCCCAGGAAGCCCGGCTAGTCCTGCGGCCCAAAGCGGGGGGCAGCCATAGTCACCTTTCCAACAAGCCCCGAAAACAGCACAGGGGCTGCAGATCCGCTGTTTTTTGCTTTTTTGCCATCGCCGCGGGCGCCGTCGGCGCCGTTGGCCGATGACCATGTCAGCGTCCAACGTTCCCAAGGAGCGAAGATGCTCACATGTTGCGGCTCTGGAAGGTAGTGAAACAATACATCTGATGCCACTTAATTATATAGAAGTAATAAGCAACGTTTCAGATCCAAATACACCCGACTTGTGGTTGGGCTGAGCCGGGGAACTTCAAGGGTCGTGTCATGTTCAGTCCAGATCATCCGGAGCTTGCCAGATGGGGCGGGACGGGCGGAAGATGAATCGGAAGACGAATCGATGCGAAGGTCATCGGACTCGCGTGTGTTGGGTGCTCAGAATGGACCTGCAATGCAGTACCTCTTCCATCTCCGAAGCCATGCGAAGCCCTTCCTCCTTCCGAGCTCCTTTTTTTGGTTTTTGTTTGGGTCCGATGATGGCAGGAGACCTCCGAGGAGATCACTTTGACCGTGGCGCTCTTGAGTGGCGAGGCGGGGTGCCATTGGTGGGTGGGGAGGGTACTTCAGGGTATATACTGTGTCTGGGCCACAAGAGTCTACAGGAGTCGGCACTGTAGTAGTCCATTTGCTTTGGGTTGTTGGTAAGAGGATGGACTGAGTTCCTCTTCCATCGAACGATCTTGTCCTAAAGACCACATGCAGAAGGCTTTCTGCCCAACTTATGTGGGTTTGAGAGTCTCTATTCCATTTCTATCCACGCGGTGAACGGTACACTCTCTAAAAGAATCCACATGGTTTGGGAAGAACAAAAGGAGGTGGCCTCATTGTTGATCGTGTCCTCCCTACCCATGAGGCCACCATCTCCCCCCAACGACCCGCGTCCTTCTTGCCGACCCGTTGACGCAGAGAAACCACCCCAACCGCAGGGCGCCAAGATCGTCGCGAACTTGGACTGGACGGTGAACCAACTCCGGCTGCAGGTCGGGTCGTGGGGAATGAGAGACGTCTGCAGGTCGTGTGCTGCGGAGGGACCTCCGCAGCGCCCCACCCGGCCATGTGTTGTAGACTACGTGGAGATGTAGACAGATCCGCCGGTTGACCCTGGTTGACCACCTGGCGAATGAACAGAATCGACTACCTGGGAAGTTCACCTACCCTGGTGGTTTGGGGCTGGGGGTTTTGACCCACAGGCATATAGACCGATCGGCGGTTGACCGATCCGATGAGATGTCCCAAACCTCTTCAGACGTGAGACGTTTCTGTCACGTTGGGAGTGAGTTCGTCCCCCATTGGAAAGATCACGATCTCCTTGAGGTCCACTAGTCAATTCATGAGTAACAACATGACAGCTTCGATCTTCACTGATATTTCATGAAGTGATGCATACTCATGATGGAATCAGATGATCCCTGTGATGCACCGAAGTACCGCCGAGCGGCAGAGCGCCACGTCACCGGTCGTTCGACGGGTTTGGTCCGCCCGGGGGAAGACACTCCTGTCGTTCCGACGGGTTTCTCCCTCGTCGCGATCGAGACGACTCCGGACGGTTCCGTCGAAGGCACAGTGGTCCTTGCGCGTGGGGATTTGCAGTTTAGTGAACTCCGAGGGCGAGGTCTTGCGGCCCGGCGGACGGGCCATTCGGAGGGGTGAGAAGAGGTGGTAATTCTTCGGGTTCGGAGATCGGAGATCGGGAGGAAAGGCATCGAACATCATAGGCACGAAGTGTTGTTAATTGGTCCCACCGGTGACATCGAGGGGGTGACATCGACGTCGAACGACGTCCGGACCGGTGGCTTCGAAGTCGTGATGTGGGAGTGGGGATCCCTGAGTATCTGACTCGGGATAGGTTTCCACTTTACAGGGATCCCCTAAGGCGATAGGGATAGGTCCATAGGTTTTCCAACTATCTTTTGCCTTGGGAGAGGTGGCTTTTTCCATGCCTCTTTCATCACCAGACCGACCCAGACTGGACCTGACTAGAGCTGACTGGACCATCTGGGTGTCCGGAGTCCTGGACATGCAGGGTCGTCCAGCCAGGATGATCTTATAGTGGTTGAGCAAGGTTGCAGTTAAGACAGTGGTTTCTGGGTTTGAACAGGGCAGCAGCTTGAGACAGTCTCACCCCCAAAGCCCTCTCAGTTAGCCAACGGTCAGTGCTTCCCGTATGGATCTCGGTTTCGTAGATGGCAGGATCGTAGAAAGCTGGTTTCTCCCCCGGTTACCCCAGGTGGTGAATCGTCAACTCAACTCAGCTCTAAGGTGCAGGTGGCAGATGTGGTGTCTAGTCGGTGGATTCTAATTATCGAGTCCAAATTGGGGTGCAGTTCATTTTTATCAGAGGGGCTTGCAAAAATGACTCTCACTTTTTTTTGACTCTCAGTTTTCTTGTTTCTGATGCTAATGATTTTGATTCTGATACTAAAGAAGAGGGGGAGGAAGAAGA